TTCCTGACCTGTTATGGGACACCACAGCCCTGCTCTCACATTAGGAACATGGGACAATAGCCTGGGAAACCCCACAGAGACACAGGGAAGGGATCACCAGGGAGCAGCTGCTGGCCAAGTGCCTGGCCAGGCGGTGAGGGACAGTGCCAAGGCCACACRGATGTCCCTTGGGCAGTGGGGACCTGAGTCCTGCTTCCTCCTGTCACCTCTGAGTCCCCCACGAGCAGTGCCTGTGCCCCAGGGCCTGCAGGCAGGGTGCTACACCCAAAACCTCTGGCCCTGGGGCTCGCAAAGGGACTTTATTCCCCAAATCCAGCAGTGCCACCCAAGCCCAGAGACTCAGCAGGTCACACCCAGGGAGGTGATTTGGTTGAGCACCTYGAGCCCAGGGCCAACACCCCGATAGCCCGTGGTGACCCAGCCCATTCCGGCCCCGCAGCAGCCACAGCAGCGCCGCTGCTTCCCGCAATCCCTTCCCGGTCAAAGTCTGCCAGGAGCCGTCCCCAAGTGTCACCAGCAGCCACCGTGTGACACCGGCCACCCGGGGCAGCCAGGGGGGATCCGGCACCCCAGCTCTGTGCTTCCCCAGCTGCAGGAAAGGCTGTGCCCCCTCTCTGTGCCACCTCCCGTGCCAGCCGTTCCCGTGGCAGCGCTTCCCGGCACCCGGAGCCCAGCACCGGCCCCGGCACATCCCGGTGCCCGCCCAGCCCGCCGGGCTCAGTGCGGCGTTCCCGGGGGGCTCTGTGTGTCCCACGGCTCAGGCAGTGCCTGGGGGTCCAGGAGGATCCCCCACCTGCCCTCCCTCGGGCTCACCTGAGTGCTCTTGCCGGTACCGGGGGGCCCGGACACCAGGACGATGCCGCTGTTGCCCTCCAGGTGCTCCATGAAGCTGTACTTGGTGGTCCAAACCGGCAGCTCCCGGCGCTGCCGGAGCAGCTCGTAGTACCGGGAGGAGAAGGGCAGCCCGTCGTACGGGTTCACCTCCAGGTCGCCGTCGCAGCCCAGGGACGGGTCTTCATCCTCCTCCTCCTCCTCCAGCGCGGAACCGGGACCGCTCGGCCCGGGCAGGGGRCCCGGGGCCCCGGAGCCGGCCATGGCGGGGACAGCGGAGCTGCGAGGGCGGGCGGGGGTGGAGCGGGACCGGCGCTGACCCACCCTCGCCTACGTCCCGGGAAGGAGCCCGGTGCAGCCCAGTGCCACGTCCCGGCCCGCGGGGTGGGGGGGCCCGCGGATACCGGGGACGGGCGGGCAGAGGGGCACAGACAGGTGTGGAGTGGTGACACGGACGGGAGATCAGGAACAGAGACGGAGTGTGGGGAACCGGGAGAACGGGCAGGGAAACCGGCGGGCGGGCAGGGAACCGGGGAAAGGGGACGGGTCACCGGGAGAGCCCCGCGGGATCGAGTAGAGCGCGGGGACCGGACCGGCCTGGGCGTGCGGACCGCACCGAGGCGGGGTGCAGGGGTTGCGGGATAAAGGGGACACCTCGGGAGGGCCGGTCCCGAACGGCACGGGCCGAACCGGATCGGCGGAGGAYCCGTACGGGGCAGTCCGGACCGGGCACCTGAGCACCGGCACCGGGCCGGACCGCAGCGGAGCGGAGCGGGCGGGTCGGGGGCGGGTCAGGGGCGGGTCCCCGGCATCCCCCGGGCCGCGGCCCCGGTTCGAGCCCCGGTTCCGGTTCCGGTTCCGGTTCCGGTTCCGGTTCCGCCGCTCACCTGCGCGCGCCACCGCGGGCCCGACCGGGGGACACGGTCACGTGCCCCGCGCGCCGTGACGTGTCCCGCCCGCGGCAGCCAATCAGCGCCCGCGCCGGGCGGGGCCCGGATGTGGCGGCGGGACCGGAGCGGACGGGACCATCGGGAGCATCCCCGGTACCGCTCCCGGCTCCGCCCGCGGGCCCGCCCTGCCCGCTGCTCTCCGCTGCCAGCTCCGGTGTGCGGTACCGAGCCGGGGCAACTGCAGCCCGAGCCCGCCCGCAGCCGCTGTCGGAACCGGGCTTCCCGGTACCGGACATCTCGGGCTGGTGCGGGGCATCCCGTGCCGCATCCGAGCATCCCGGTGCGGGACCGGGCGTGCCGGATTCGGACGTCCTGTACATCTCATCTTGTGACAGTGCCGGGCATCCCTATGCGGGGAATCCTACAGTGCCATCGGGTGTACCGGAGCCGGGCATCCCGTAACAATCTCGGTCATTCCGTACCGGAGCATCCCGGAATGGTGCTGTTCATACCGGTGCAGGGAATCCCGCTGCCGGAGCGGGGCGTCCTGCAAAGCGCTGAACGTACCGGGGCCGGCCATCCCCATGCCGGACATCCCGAACCGGTGCCCCGCACCCGAAGCAGCGCCCTCGGCGGCTCCCGGCGGGACCGGCAGGTGGAGCTCCCTGACCGGCGAACGGCCCGGGCAGCCCGRCCCGACCGGAGCTCCCGCCGGGGCCGCAGGGCAGAGCCGTGCACCGGGCAGAGCCAGGCGGGGACCGAGCAGTGCCTGCTGGCTCCGGTACTGCGGGAATCAGGAACCTCGGAGGCTGCGGGAAGTGCCAGTCCTGCGGTTCCTGCTCTCCGAGAGCCCCGGYAGCCCCCGCATCCCGGTGCCCGTGCCACATTTCGTTCTGCGTACCCCCGGTGCTGCCAGCCCGGCGCGGGCAGGTCCGGGCAGTGCGGGGATGTGGCGGCACATCCCGGGCTTTGCCGTGCGGGCTGGCGGCTTCGGCGGGTCCATCCCTCGCACGTCGGCCCGGGTTTGACACCGGAATGCCGCCGGCAGGATCACGTTATGCCCCGCTTTGGATGAACCCAAACCCACCCGGTCTCCTCTCCCGCGGGGCTCTCCGCTCTCTGCGGCTCTTCTCAGGGCCGGTTTTGGGTCAGGGGGTCTGTCCCGGGGCTGGAAGTGACCCGTGGGGCTGCACCCAGGGGTGACCCCAGAGCTGGSAAAGATTGCAGCGGGGTTTGGGGACCTGGAAGGGGTGCAGGGAAGGAGCCAAGGGGCTGATAGAGAGACACATGATTCCTGCAGCGCGGTGACAGCAGGACTCGGGGGTCAGAGGGTCCCAGGGCTGTGAGGGGTGAGGGCCTGGCCAAGCCCCCATCCCCGTGGAGCCCCGGACAGGCGAGTGTGGCCAGCAGGAGGAAGGAAGTGGCTGGTGCTGAGCCGTTGCTCCACACGCTCGCCCAGCGCCGTGGCTGCGGAGGGCTGGACAGGGCACCGAGCCAGCGCTGGCACAGCTGGGCCTGGCACACCAAGGGACGGAGATGGGGACAAACCAGACCCGCCACGATGGCAGAAGCCTTGTCCTGGTGGGGCTGGTTGGGAGCAGCACGGCTGGCACAGGCACACGGCTCCGCTGGCTCCTCGGGCTGTGCTGTGGCTGGAGCTGCGCTCGCTCCGTGCTCCCGCTCCAGTGTCCGACTCTGGCCATGGTGCTCAGCCAAAGAGGTCACCCTGCCACCGCATGACCCGCTCCAGTGACCACAACCATCTTGCCAGCGAGCCCAGACCCTTGGGTGGGCAGCGTGAGCGTCCTGGGGGCTCCATCCCCACCACCCTGCCCCGGTGCGTGGTGAAGGGAGGACGGTGGGGTGGGACCCCCGCGTTCAGAGCGCACTGAGGAAGCGGAGGTTTCACAAGCTGGGGTACACGTGACACTCRGGGGGTGCGGCAGGAACCACCAACAGCCCTGCAGTGCCCCGGTCCCCGCGACACGGCCCCCCCCGGTGCCCCGGTGGCCATGGCGCCCTGGCTGCCCACCAAGGAGGACAAGTACGGTGTGGGTGAGTGGGGGTTCCCGCTTGCCGGAGGGGTGCAGGGCTGGCAGGACGGGGTGCTCAGGGTGAGGGGACACCCATGGTGCTCCCCCGGCTCTGGTGGTGGCAGGTGACGGCGGCGGGGCGATGGCACTCGCGGTGCCGATGCCGATGTGAGGCGGTGCGAGGAGRGGCCAGGTCCCCGCGGTGCTGACGCTGGTTGGGCTGGTGGATGCAGGAACAAACAGGRGGACACTGAGGGGCTGCAGGGTGGTGACAGCTGCCCCAGGGGACAGGRCTGAGCAGGGCAGGTGCCAGCAGGACCCGGGCAGGGCGGGAAGCASTGGGGCGCGGCACTGGGGCGGGGGCTTGGCTCCCCTTCCAGGCTGTGGGCGCGGGCTCAGCCCGGCTGTTGGGACTCTGGGGGAGCCTTGAGACACCCCAATAATTTTCCTCAGGTCCCAGCTGGGGCTTTGGTGTTGGTGAAATGCAAAGCCCTGGGCATCCCCATTCCTTGCMGCACCCCCAGCTTGGGCTCCCCGTGCCGTGCCCCAGCCCAGGGCACCCCCACTCCCCGCAGCACCCCCAGCTTGTGCTGGCTCTGTCAGCCCTGTGCCTCTTCCCGTTTCTTGTGGGGGCCGTTTCCTGCACCCTTCCCGCACAGTCTGCAGTGCTGGAGGAGGGCTGAGCTGCTGCTGCGCTCAGCTGGCTCCGTGTGGGAGTACAGGGGAGCAGGGGGGGGTCCCGTGGGGTTCCGGGTGCCCCAAGGTGTGAGGGCAGCACGAGGGGTCCCAACGAGCCCTGTGGGTCTGGGGCTGAGGCTCAGAGTTGGCACAAGCAGGGTCCGAGCAGGGACCCCCAGRTGCAGGGATTGTCCCCCATTCTGGGGGCTGCCTGTCCCAGAGCTGTCTGTGGGGCCAGAAACAACGTCAGGGACGGCCACAGCGTAGCCGGGCAGGAAGTGGCTCACCACCGGAGAGCTCCTGTCCCCAGCGCCCCCCTCCCCTGCCACCAGCTCCGCTGTCCCCAGACACACCTGGCCCTGAGCTGGGGCTCAGCTGGCACTTTCCTCCCTGCACTTCTTGTGCCAGGAGCAGGACCACCAGCACCCAGGCTGTGGGCAGCAGGCAGGGGGGTCCCACAGGGGACCCCTGAGGGCTGGGAGGGGTCTGGGGGCTTCTGCTGTGCCCCCAACTCACTGCAGGCTGTGGCTGTCCTGGGGTGTGGGGTCGGGGTGCCTGGGGGTTTCACGGTCTTTATGGGGCTGGGGCTCTGTCCCATCTCTCAGGGCTGAACGGCGCCTTTTGGGGTGCTCCGGGGGGCACCCAGCCCGTGTGGGGCTGGCTGTGGGGTGCACGGATCCCAACTCTCAGCCCCTCTCCCCACAGCCGTGTGGAAYTTCCCGCGCACCAAGGAGCATCACCTCCCTCTGCAGATCGGGGAGATGGTGCACATCCTGCAGGCCTCCGAGGGTAAGGAAGGGGCACCTTTAATGGGACGCACCCCATCGTGGGGGCTTTCTGCACCCTCCCTTAGCCCTGGGGTGRGGCCGGGACCCCCAGCCGGGCTGACCGTGTCCCCTCCCCTCCCCTGGCAGGCTGGTACTGCGGGTACTCGCTCCGGAACAGGGCTGCATGGGTAGGTGAGGGGGTGCTGKGCTCCTGGGGACAGGAGGGGCACTGCTGGTGGCTTTCCATGTCCCTACTGGGGGTCTGGGAGACACAGGGGGCATGGCTGGCTGGGCATTGGGAGCCCCCAGCTGTCCCTGGTGACCCCCCGAGGGATGTTTCCCCATCCCGGGGGTGCCAACAATTCCGGCTCCCCCAGGGCATCTTCCCGGCCTCGCTGATCCGGCTGAAGGGCACCGTGGTGGAGCAGCGGGGGTAGGTACGGGGCACGGGCAGGGGCGGTGGGCTCCGTCTCCTGCCCRGCATGGGGTCCCCGCGGTGCTGGGGGGGCTCTCCAGGGGTGCCGGTGCCTCCCCCAGGGCGGAGGAGAGCGTGGTGCCCGCCGAGATGCCMATGGTGCAGGAGATCACCACCACGCTGCGGGAGTGGGCCACCATCTGGAAGCAGCTCTACGTGGTGAGGGACGGGGATCTGGGGGTTCAGGGGTTCCGGGAGCGGGGTGGGGGGCCCCCGGTGACCCCGTGGTGCCGCCACAGGCCGGRCAGACGGAGCGCTACGGGCAGGTGAAGCGGATGATGCAGGAGCTGATGGAGCAGCGCTCGCAGCTGCTCTCGGGGACGCTGCCCAAGGACCAGCTCCTGCGGCTCAGGAAGGAGGTGACCGGCAAGATGGACTACGGCAACAAGTGAGGGCAGGGACGGGACACAGGGACCCGAAATCCTCCCCTTCAGGTGCTCCCTGACAGCCTGCGGGTGTCCCCATCATCCCGGGTGGCTGCCCTGTGTCCCCTCTGTCCTGGCTGGCTGTCCCTCTGTCCCTGCCATCCCAGCTGGCTGTCCCTCTGTCCCCGCCATCCCAGCTGGCTGTCCCATGATGCCAGCAGGTGCCCGAGCCACCTGGCCAGGGCTGAAACCGATGAGCGTGGCCGGGACAGGAGTGTCCCCGGTGCTGCCCGACTCCTGTCCCCTCGCCAAATTGGATCTGTGCGAGGACACGCGGGTCCTGGTGGGACACACAGTCCCGTGTCCCCCTGCTCCCGCCTCACCCCAGCCCGGCCCCGCAGGATCCTCGCCCTCGATCTGGTGGTGCGGGATGAGGACGAGAACATYCTGGACCCCGACAGGACCAGCGTCATCAGCCTCTTCCAGGCGCACCGGAGGGCGGCGCAGACCCTCAGCCGGCGCATCCAGGAGGAGACGGTGAGGCCGCTGCTGGCCCTGTCGTGTCCCCACCTCTGTCCCCCRTGCCAGGGGCTGTGCCASGGGCTGAGCCACCTTGTGCCACTCACCTCGTTCCCCCCAGACCCCGCAGCCGAGAGCTCCTGGCCACGGCGCCCACGGGGCCGCTTCTCCCTCGCACAACCTCTACCTGTGCGTCCGCAACTTCGTGTGCCACATCGGGGAGGAGGCGCAGCTCTTCATGGCGCTGTACGACCCCGGCGAGCAGCGCATGATCAGGTGGGGCCCCGGGGCACGGGACAGAGCTCTGTCCCCGCCGTGCCGGTCCCTGTCCCGCTGCTCCCGCTGGCACCGCCCCGGGCTCAGCAAGACCCGCGGGTGGCACAGAGGAAGGGRCGCTTCCCTTTCCAAAGGGTTTCTCCTCTGGAGCAGGAGGGTTTGTGTGGCGTGCCAGCCGTGCTGCCATCTCCCGTGGGACAGCCCAYGGCTCGTCCTGCCCCGGGCACCGGCGAGGTGACCAGCGGGGTGGYTGGGGACAGCCAGGCTGGGCCAGTCCCTGTGCCGTACTGGGGACAGCGGTGTTCTGAGCTGGGAGCTGGCAGTGGCTGTGCCACCCCGGTGCCCACCTCACCTGTCACCTGTCGCCTGTCACCTGCCCCGCAGCGAGAACTACGTGATCCGCTGGGCCAGCACCGGCGTTCCCCAGGACATCGAGCTGCTCAACAACCTCAAGGTCGTGTTCACGGTGAGCGCAGAGCCCGGGGGAACCGCGCTGCTGCCGCCCGCCACCCCATCCTGCAGAGCTGCCCCCACCCCAGAATGTTTAGGGTCTCTCGTGTCCCCCGCGAGCAGCCGAACCCCAACACCCTCTGTGCTCGTGTACCCCCAGTCTCTTCGAGGTCCCCTCCGGGGTCTCGGGGTCCCCTCCCGGTGCTGGGGATCCCGGGGTCCCCTCCCGGTGCTGGGGATCCGGGGCAGCCCCGTCCCCGCCAGTCCCTCGGAATTCGCTGACTCAGCGCTTTGGCCGCAGCGCAGCGCTGACCCCCGGGACGCCGCGGAGCCATCGATATGCAAATGAGCCGGGAAAATCAATGTTAATGAGCAGCATCAGCACTTGGGCTCCGCTGCCGGAGCTCTCGCCCATCTCCACCCCCTGCTCTGCTCTCTCACGATGTCCCCGCGTGTCCCCTCGCACTGTGGCGTGTCCCTGCCCGTTCCCCTCAGCTCCGATGGCCCTGGCACGTCCCCGGCAGTGCTGCCAGGGTCACACGGCCCCTGTCCCCAGGACCTGGGCAGCACGGACCTGCAGCGGGAGCGGCTGTTCCTGGTGTGCCAGATCATCCGTGTGGGGCGCATGGACCTGCGGGACAGCCACAGCCGCAAGCTCAGCACGGGCCTGCGCCGGCCCTTCGGCATCTCAGGTGGGGCTGGGCACCTTGGAGACCCCCAGGGGCGCCCGTGCCACCACCCTGTCACCCTCCCAGCCACCACACCGCTCCTTCATGCYCCTGGGAGCTCTGGCTGTCCCCTTTCCCTGCCTGCAGACCCCAAATCTCTGCACGGCTGCCCCCACAAACCCCCTTGCCTTCACCTCCCCCCACGATCTTGTTTTTGACGTGGATCACTGGCTGGGGGTGCCACCCCTGCCACGGTGCCACCTCTGTGTCACTGCAGTGATGGACATCACCGACATCACCAAGGGGACGTGTGACAGCGACGAGGACAAGCAGCACTTCATCCCCGTCCATCTGTGAGCCCCGTGGGCTGGGGGGCAGTGCTGGGGGGCAGTGGGGCAGGGAGCAGCACTGCAGGGCCTGGCTGGCACGGGGACACCAGCTGGGAGGGGATGAGAGGTTCACGGATCAAAGGGAAAATGCTTTTCCCCTAAATGTGGCTTTTCCAGCGTGGCCGATGGTGATTTCCTTCACAATATGATCCGGAAGGCGGTGGAGGGCAAGGACATCAACCACAAGGGACAAGGTAGAGAYCCTGTGCTCCCTGTGCCCACTCTGTGCCATGAGACCCCTCCCTGAACCACTTGTCACATGGGGCAGCCCCCACAGGGTCGAGCATTTGCAGAACTCCCTGGTTACCCTGGGCCATCCCATCCTCAAAAAATCCCTGTGGTCCCCGCAGGGCTCTGGGTGTCCCTGAAGATGCTGTGGGGGGACCTGAGCCAGGTGAGGAAGGACCACCCACACCTGGTGGACCGCGGCACGGTGGTGGCTCGCAAGCTGGGCTACCCGGAGGTCATCATGCCAGGCAAGTGGCACAAACCCCGGGGTCCCTGGGGGTCCTGGYGTGGTGCCAGCACCTGGCTGACGGGGCTGTCCCCCCAGGTGATGTCAGGAACGACATCTACCTGACGCTGGTGCAGGGCGAGTTCGACAAGGGCAACAAGAAGACGCAGAAGAACGTGGAGGTGACCGTGTGTGTCTGTGATGAGGCGGGGAATGTGGTGCAGGTACGGCAGATGTCCCCTGTGTCACCTCACCTCGGTAAAAACCCAGCTGGAGGATCCTCTTTGGCCCCTGGTGCTGCCTGGAATAGAGATCTGGAAATAGAATAAAAATCTGGGAATTTGCTGTGAAGGGATAGAGAAAAATGGTCCTTCCTTGGGGACAGCCAGCCCCACTGGGCATCCCCAGTGTCCCCAGGTGTCCTTGCCCAGGACAGGGAGGAGGGAAAGGAGCTGGGGGCTGGCAGGAGGGCAGGGGGGGACAGACACAAGTGTCACCCCCCAGACTGGCTCTTGCCTCTCCCGAGGTGTTCTCACACATTTCTTACCTGGCTGCTGAGGAATGGGCTGGAATTGCTGGGCCAGTCCAGGGATGCATCCTCCATCTCCATACACA